TTTTTTTTAAAGCCATAAAAGAAACTACATGGGAGTAGAAAGGAAATCAATTATATTGAATTATAGTTATGAAATTTTTTATATAGTAACATGTTTCTTTATTAATATATTTAAAATAAGATAATACATTTAAAATACAGGCAAGTTAAAATTTGTTTTGTAAAAACTTATACCAGCATGGAGACTTTCTGTTTAACTTGAATAAAAACACTAAACTATGGAGTGGTTTTTTAATTAGCTACTTTCACATGTCAATCAACAATTAGAGGACTGTTGGAGAGCATTGATGTCTGTGTTGCCAGCAAGACCTCACTATTTTGGTCTAATAGTCAGTTACATCACATAGACTTCCAGACTGTGGACAGAGGGACTTAGATTACATATGTTCCAGCAGTGGGTTTAATAACTCTTATAATATTGTAACAATGGGTAACTATTGTAACTTTGGAGTAGCGATGAATAATAAAAGATATTTTGAGTTACCTAAATGACTGTAATGTGATATAAAAATATTGTGAATTCCATGGGATACTAGGTCACAGATACTGGTCTATTGTTTGTATTCACAGTAGAAGGAAATGCTAACTTACAGATAGCATTTGGTAAAAATAAAGATGAGTACCCCTCATCCTCCATCCAATTTCACAAACCTTCTAACTCAAGAGGTCTGTGGTCTCAGGTTTAGAACTCCTCCTGGGAGTTGTAAGCAATAAGGTAGGACTCTAGCCACTTGCCTTTTCTTTCTTTTGAATCACAGATAAATAACAAGCCTGAAAAGAAAAAGGAAATAAGTTCCAAGTATATTCATAGATTATCTTATTCTTCATAAATGTATGCTTTTAGGAGGAAAATAATTCTTTAGGTAGGGAAATATTACTATAGTTTGTAGAAATGATAGTCTTTTAAAATGTTAGTTATTTTTACTTCTGCTGAGTAACTTTGGGTTAGCTCTTGTCATTTAGCCAATGAAAGGGAGAATCTCAAAATTATCTGAAGTTATAAAATAAGGTAGAAGAATTAAGATTCTTCTCTTATTACATTTGAGTAAAAGTGTCCAAGAAGTGTAGAGTACAGGGAAAGAGATATGTGGTAATTAATATTACTAGTGTCCTAGGTAAAGTAGAAGGTGTGTTTTATTTAGTATGCATTTATTGAACCCCTACTATATCTCATAGACTGTGGAATAGAGTGTTGTAGTCTCTCATTCGTAATCTCATTAGAGATTACTGCATCCTAATTATTAGATTGCCTGTTTTTCTTGGTTTATTATTTATCAAAGATCTGATTGTTTAATGTTTCTGAGTAGTCCTCAAAGAGCTGAAAGATAGGGGAGAGAAAAATTGGAAGAATATAATAAGAGGAATCCTGGAAAGTTAAGGGCCTCTCTCTCTATGGTTTGTTTGAAAAATGATTGAGTTTTCTCTACTGAGACCTGACATACAATCTTGGCTTTATTTTAGAGAAAAATCTACATTGTTGGTATGATACCACATTATTGAATCTTACTAGAGAAGTCATTGGTTTCCTCCACACTCAATAAAAATGAGTTTGGTCAATATTGTAATTAATCCCTCAGTGCTATTTGAAAAAAATTTTGGCTATCTTGACTGTATATGTTAAAAATAATTGATGTATTTTATTTCTTAATACCAAAAGAAAAGGTGCCATTTCACAGAGTTATGATGAAAATTACTTAAAAAAAATGTTTTGTTAAGTGTACTACAAATGATAACTACTATTATTTGTTATTAGGCTACTTGGCAGGTTAACTTTAAGAAAAATTGAATGTCAAAAAATATAATTTTTAAAGTACATGTTCATACAACTTTAGATAAATTCTTTTAAGCCTCACTTATTTAGATCTCAAAGTTTTCTAAGGAACAGTTGTCAAAAATTGATTCTTCTAGAAAATTCATTTCTCAAACTCATTTTGAAGTTAATGAACAATGTAATCACCACTTTTTGCTGTCTTCATTGGCTATTCTGTCCTTAACAATTGTTTTATAATGTGTTTTATACTTTTTAATGAAGGGCTTTGCACCATTTATCTCGCCTGAGAGACCTTGTTGATGATACCAGTGGAAAACAGTCACCAAAAATGTGAAGAGGAAAATAAAACTGTCGCCACAATAAATAGTCACCACAGAACAAATATGCATTTTTTTCCTATTACTTAAACTGACAAAGTAATTATAAGCCATATATAATTCTGTCACTGGTTCAAGTATTATATATTTCTAAAAACTAAGCTTGAAAACATCCATAGAATTTGTGACCTATCCTTACTACGTGCCAAGATAGTAGAATATGAAGTGGAAGGACCCACAATATATTCTATAGTCCTTCTTTGGTCTATAGACCAGCAAATGTCTAATATTCAAAGATGGATGATTTCTCTTCTTGAAACTTATATGACCTAACCTTCTTTCAGCATGCTCATCATTTTATCATCTGGTTCTGGATTATTAAGAAACTGTATGTTTCTATCTAAAATCTTAAATAGACTTTTTTGGATATAGTTAGTATCACTTTTAAGAAGCTTAAAGAAATATCAGAATTGTTATTATGTATCTTATCTATATGGAAGTCTGTCACTTTTAAGTTTTCATAAATCAAATATTTAAGATATATTGTATTTGCAAATGTTATAAATTTAATGGTGGGTGAAAAGCAGTGCTAAAAGGAATATTCTCTTATGTTGTGACATACAAGAGGACCTCTTCATTTAATTAATACTTTGATTCTGTGTAAGACAATTTTGATAATACTTGGCAGTTTACAAAACATTTTTGGAGAGATATTTGAGAATTTAATATTTTGATATTAGAATGTTTCCCAGATTTTCTTTTTGTGGATAGCTCAAACTAGTGAAAACTGCGACTTGCCAATTGCTTTATGAAATTTGGTAACTAAAATAAAAGGAATATGGAAAATCAGAAAGCAACTCTGTATTTTAAAGCTGTTGTGTAAGAGTTAAGCTTTCTTTAAAGCATTCTGTAGTCTTCAGAGTTTGTCTCTAGTTGGAACTGAACAAAGCTCTAAAATTTTGAAATTTTTACTAAGCAGGTATTATTAATATCTCTATAATAATAAATGGGAAGCATCTTTATCAACAAAACTAAGAATTAAGTTATAAAACATAACTAATACAGCATATTAGAAAAGCCTGTTGAAATTAAAAAAAAAATCTGTGTATATATACAAATACTACAAATTAACAGTTTACCCAAATGGCAGCATTTTTGCTAGTTAGATTTACTGTCAAATAGGAATTTCTAAGTACATTGGGTCAAAGGATTTTTTTCCAAATTATTAAAGCATCACTTAATATCTTTGTTATAGAACTGACATGTCAAACACTAGCATGAACCCTGGTTTTTGTTTGTTTGTTTTTTTATTTTTTATTTTTTTTATTGTTTGGGTTTTATTTTGGCCAGTGAGTTTTTCACCATATTGCTCTGGCCATTTTGTGAGGTACTTGCTAATAGGTTTGTTTGTTTACTCTGTGGAGATCTTTTTGCTACTGACATCTTATTTTCTGATTATGGTCTGCTTCACAGCAAGTAGCTTACATAACCAAACAAGGAATTCTTTGAAAATTAAAATATGTCTGACTGTACAAAAATGCAGATTTTAAGTGGGTAAACATCAGGTGGATCTGGGTGGGTCATGTTTCAGGCCTAGTGAAAGCCACTACTACACAAATTCTAAAGAAGGTACAGAAGGTAAAAACATCAGGTAATAACTTCTAATTAAATATTAATTATATGTTGATCATATATAACATATACCATCTCCAAAGAGATTATACTGTAATGACTCTGAATAACACATTTAGCTAATGCTTCCATTTGCAGGAACATATTTCCAATACTAAATGAGATAAACCTGTTCCAGAAGTTTATGTTATGGCTAATATTTTAAGAAACTTGATTAAACTTACCAAAGGAGCATTAATATTTTCTCTTCTGTTAAATATGGAAAAATTTAGTCTTTTACCTAACACAGGAATTAGTTTTAGCAAAATGATTAATTCTAACCTTCTTAAAAGACATATCTAGGGTATATATTAAAAGACATATCTAGGTATTATTTGCTTGGTATTAACCAAGCAAATAATAATTCTAAATGATAAACATTTAAGAAATTCTACAAGTTTAATTAGGATTTCAGGGATTTTAAGTTTCCAGAGGAAAGAGCGAGACAACAATATGGAGACTGCTAAGTGGAGAATTTAAAGCAGATAATGGTAACAATTAGATTTTAAAAAATTGTATTGTGAATGTAAAATTTTATCAACCCTTTACTCTCTTTTAGATATAGTAAGAGAATGTTAAATAGAAAAAAAATAATAAATGTTAATAAGATGCTTCATATTTTTAATTGAGTATAAAAAATAACAAAAAAGCCTAATTCCAAAAATTATTTGAGATTAAGAGATAATGGTGTGACCAATATGAGGAGTCAAGACTGAAATGTATTGTCTTTAGAAATTAGAAATCTACTTTCAGTTATTTCTGGGACAATTCCTTTCAGCTTCATAGAGCTTTCTGACCAAATTGTGGAACTCTCTTGGGTTTGTTTTGGGTATAGTCTTTCTGGTTATGTTATTTCTTTTTGAAATTTATAAATGTGGGTTTTTTTTGGTATTATTAATATTTTGTATTTAATAGTTTATGATAATGTCTTATTAAATTAGATATAGTTATACCAAAATGTTCCTTGAAGATAAATCATGACAAGATTTCTTATTTATTCCTGTGTTTTGAATACATGGAATTGCTCGTATAGATTTGAATTTTTGTTTCATTTTTTTCTACCCCATACTTCATTCTCTATCTCTCAAAACCTGTTTGGTGGAAGTGCTATCAAGAAGTGAACTTGTCAAAAGGCAAGTTGCACGAAAGGGGACCAAAAGAAGCAAAAGGCCAATAAAATTTATGTTTTCCAAACAATTGAAGTTTCTTTAAATGTGCAAGACTGTATATCTTTCTATTCCATGTACAGATTGGATGTTTCATACCTGTTATATGTTGTGTTGTATTGCAGTGCTTATCATATGATTGGGGTAAATCTAGGCCTAAACCTGAACACATTATATAGCAGGTTGTATTGTTAGATACTTTTCCTATGATATTTGAAATTATTACTTTCCTATTCTTTCTTTATAATCATATGTCCCTAAGATCATTTTCTTTTCTTTGACCAAAAAAAAAAAAAAAATCTTAGCTTTTTATCCTCCCAGTGTATTCTCTATTATCTTTACTTTACACCAGACTTTCTATGTAGCAATTTTTCTCATAGTGTAACAACTTTTATCCATCCTTCATTACCTTCACTGGAATTGTTCATTTATTTTTTGATACCTATTTCAACTTTAAATATTTCTACCCTGACTTTGTCTTTTTTTTTCTTTTAATTCTCTAATTTTCATTATTTTTTTCTTTTTTTCCCCACACATAAGGTCTGCATCCTTATAGACTGACTTTGTCTTTTACACTGAAGCCAGACTGATAACAGTGACTTTGCAGGAAGACACTGCTGTATACTACTACTCTAACCTTACTGATTTATTTCAGCAAATTTGCTGTAAATTGCTTTACTCAGATTATCCCAGAACTTCTAAGTGTATTCTCACTTGTGTGCATATTATTTCTCATCCTTGAAATACTTAGTTTTTATACTTTTGTTTATCTAAAGCTTGCTCTTACATTTCTTTAAAGCTCTTACAAGTTTGGCATTTTCTTTTCCAAATATTCTAACCATCCACCAAACTCTGGTAGGTTGGCATCCCCTTTCTTTCTTTCATTACTCGTTTAACTTTTATATTTCTTATATTAATGTTTTGGAGAATGTCTCTTATACCACATTGTATTCCTAGAGAAGAAAATGTATCTCAAAACATGTTAGATGATTGCGTTTGTTTTATCTCTTTGATAATAGCACTCTTGTATTACTTTACATAATCAGGAAAAAGTAAACTGCATTTTGCATAGTAGTCTTAAGTTTTGATTGATGATTCTAAAGCTGGTTCCCTGTATAAGGTTGTAAGTTCAAAATAAGAGTGACCACATCCTTTACTAATGTGATGTTCTGCAAACCATTTCATTTCTTTTTAAAAAAACATTTTGATAAACTGTATTTTTTAAATTAGAAATTTTATTTTTTTCCTTAGGGCAGCTTTAGGGTTCACAGCAAAATTAAGAGGAACCTACAGAGATTTTGTTACTGAGCAATGGGCTCACTGCCCAATGTGCATAGAAGCCAATACTATGGCACCAGCTTTTGAGAAAAGAGCTTTATTGTGAGTCAACTGGCAAGGAGATAGGAGGCAACACTCAAATCTGTCTCATTGATTAGGGGGTGGGTCAAGCTTTTGTGGCATTACTAACCAGCCCCAATGTTGCCAGTTCAGCCAGTCTGCCAGGCTGGTGGTGATAACAGGAGGGTAAGACTTTTCCTTATTGTGCATGCCTGGGCTATTTTGGCTCTGCATTGCCTGTAATAGCTTAAGCACTGGTTAAACAGTTTGAGCTGGTCCTATGGTTACAATTTCCCATATAACCTCTGCTCCTGCACATGTGCAGCCTCCCCTATTATCAACAGCCACCACCAGCATGGTGAACAATTGGTGAACCTATACTGGCACATCATAATCATTCAGAGTCCATAGTTAACATTAGGGTTCACTCCTTTTATTTTATTTATTTATTTTAGATACAGGATCTCATTCTGTTGCCCAGGCTGGAGTTCAGTAGTGAAAGCATAACATAGCTCACTGTAACCTCGAACTCCTAGGTCAAGCAATCCTTCTACCTCAGTCTCCCAAGTAGCTGGGACTACCGGCATGCACCACCACACCTGGCTAATTTTTTATATTTTAAAATTTTTTATAGAGACAGGGTGTTGCTATGTTGCCCAGGCTGGTCTCAAAATTCTGGGCTCAAGTGATCCTCTTGCCTTGGCCTCACAAAGTGCTGGGATTACAGGCAGGAGCCTCTGTGCCCAGCCTTGTCAAGCCCTTTTATAGTGACATTAATTCCTCTCATGACTTATCACTTCTCAACAGCCTCTACCTTCAAATACTCTTGGAATGGGGATTAAGTTTCCAACACATGAATTTTGGGGGGCACATTCAGACCATAGCACTGGTTTTGCATTGTGTTGCTTCTTTGAGCCTGGCTTGATGGTAAGTGTATAAATTTGGGCCTAATCTAGAAACAAACCACACAGTGATTTCAAAAAAGGGAAGTTTAATATTAAAAAAGGTTTATACTATGACAAAACATATAAGAGAACTCTGTGTGGTACCCTAGAGTTGAGGGAGAGTACCCAAGGAAAGACAAATGTGGGAGAGGGGCCAAAGTTTGGGTATAGACCTTGCTAAAAAAGGGTAGCTGTAGCGCACTGGATGACAGAGAATGTTACTAATTTGTTCAGACCAGAGCTGGGCTTTACTTACCAAGCAAGAAGCCACCTTCCAAGTGCAGGGAAGCCACACTGGGGACTGTGTGTGTGGTTGCGCAGAGGGAATTTGGGGAGGGGTATTAGTGCTGGCAGGATGCCTGGAGTGTAAGGTGTCTGTTTGGGAAGAGTCATGCAAGATGATCACCAGCTTGGGTGAAGTCTGAAGTCACTAAGATGAAGAGTACATTCTGGGAGTATGGCTGGGGTAGAGTGCCACCAGATGTCTTCACACCCATACTTCTTTTTTTTTTTTTTTTTTTTGAGACAGAGTCTTGCTTTGTTGCCCAGGCTAGAGTGAGTGTCGTGGCATCAGCCTAGCTCACAGCAACCTCAAACTCCTGGGCTCAAGCAATCCTACTGACTCAACCTCCCGAGTGGCTGGGACTACAGGCATGCGCCACCATGCCTGGCTAATTTTTTTCTCTATATATCAGTTGGCCAATTTCTTTCTATTTTTGTAGAGATGGGGGTCTCGCTCTTGCTCAGGCTGGTTTCGAACTCCTGAACTTGAGCAATCTGCCCCGCCTCAGCCTCCCAGAGTGCTAGGATTACAGGTGTGAGCCACCATGCCCGGCCCACACCCATACTTCTTACTGATAATGCACCTGCCAGAAAGTGACAAGAAAGACTCTTCACAGTGAATTTGGAGTTGATAACTAGTGCAGAAGTTGATCAGGTTCTAGGAAGGTTTTGGTGGGAGAGAACATTGCAAAGTAAATATATCTCTCCTGTCTATTTCTGCTTTCCCTGTCTTACAACATATTCTATAGCCTGTCCAAAACAAGAAATGTGGGCATTTAGGTAAGGTAGCAAAAATGTCCTACCTGGCCCTAGGCAACCACTAATATACAATACTTTCTGTCTCTGTAGATTTGCTAGTCTGTATATTTTATGTAGATTCATATAAATGTGGTCTTTTGTGACTGTCTTCTTTAACTTAGCATATTTTAAGCTTCTTCCATGTTGAACAATGTATCAGTGTTCCATTTTTATTGCCAAATAATTTTTCATTTATAGATATACTACATATTGTTTATACATTCATCAGTTAAAGAACACTTGTTATTTTCCTACATTTTGGCTATTATGAATAATGATGTTATAAACATTCATATAAAAATGTTAGGCCATTTAGAAAACTAAAGAACCATGAAAAGTCAGGAGCCAGTATTTTCAAAATCTAATGGATTTGATAACTTCATGAAATAAAGTAGTTCATGAACTAGGAGTATTCTGCAGTTCCATGAATGGTATTCTCAATGTATCAGATAGTATGAAGCATTCCTTTCATTACTTTCCATCAAGGTAGCCATATGGCTGTTATCTGAACATTTCTGAAAATGAAAAATTCCCTGCAGTTGGAATGCTTTCTTTTTAAGCATATTCTTGCTTCAGTTAATCCATGACTTGCATTTCTGTGTCTTGCACATATTGCTCTTGGTTTTGCCTTTTAAAACAATCTGCTGTATATATTTCAGTCTCCCTAATATTGAAATCAACAAAAATAATGTTCCATCCTAAAGGCTAAATGTTTTTAGTTTTCTAAAGTATTTCTTTGGACTAAATTTTATTTAGTATTGTCTCACTTTACTGGATGCTTTCCAGCTTTCAATGTTTTGGGATTTTGTTTATATGGCGCAAGATGTCTAAGATGCATAGAGCAAAATAAGGGGACTCTAAATTTGATTCTTTAATAATTTATTACAGTATTTTATTCAACCATAATTTATTTGACTCTGGGCACTGTGCTAGATGTGTGTGGGAGGCAAAGGAGTGTAGGAGGGGAGAGATGATGATGAATAATGCATGACTCTACCATGAGGAACTCATGATTGAAATACATGGTGGAAATACATAAATAGAGAAATGTGTACTACAACCAGGTGAGTATTGCTTCAGAGAAATGAAGATCGAACAACTGATATAGAAGCACAGAAGATGGATTGGTTACGTGGCCTTGGAAAAATCAGGAAAGATTTCACTCAGGAGAAGATACTTGAGTTGATACAGAAAAATGAACAGAAGTTGGGTTTTGCCATCAAAGAAATTGGGTAGAAAGGTATTTTATTTTAGCAAGGGGGTAATATGAACAAAGACCTGGGTGGTGAATCAGATGGGTATGTAGAAGAAATCTGGGCTTTAGGATCAGGAAGATTTATGATTCCACTATTAGATCTTTGTTGTGGACAAATGACCTTACCTGAGCCTTTTTTTGTTTTCCCTCTCTTTTTTGATAGCTACTTGCAGTTTTGTTTTGAGGGTTAAATGAGCAAAGGTGTCACTGGCATGTGTGATCTCAGCAAATGCTAACTGCTAGAGTGGTGATACATTTAGTTGGGGAGACACTAGGAATAAGACATAAGGCTGTTTATGCCTTAGAATTCTGTTGCCTTAGAGGCAACAGAATGCCTCTCCATTCTATTCTTTAGCAAGACATAGGCTTGACATAGTGAACTAGGAGTAGAGTTTCAGGGAAAATACCTGTTACTTCTCACCCTTGAGTCCTTCCCACATGTATGATTAAAGCAAGTTTAGCTAGTAAACTAGGCCATTGGTATAGGCTCCCCAACATTACTCCTAAGTCAGGAAGAAAAGAAAAATGTGGGGTGAGGAAGAAGAGGTGAAAAAAAAAGAGGATTAAATATAAACTTTGATAATATCACTGTTTTGAACTGACAGATCTGGAATTGTAAAGCTGGGAGCTGGAGTCCCTGCAGCCCAGTTCTAGGTTCTGGAAAGCAGCATTTTCTATGACCCATGATCTCAGGTTCAAATGAAAAAGTGCAAACTCCTAGCATCAACCATGTATTAATACTAAGGACTTCCCTGGCTATTGATAGTCCTCATTTGTCAAGAATGAGCCAAATCCTATATGTCTGCATATCTGGGATACAGACATAAATCAGGGATCTGGCTTAATAATTTGAAGAGTATCTTCTCAGGACTACACATTCTGATATTGAATAAAAAGGGGACAAGGTAGGAATAATTTTGATGTTGACAGAATTGAAATAAAGGTCAAAATTAAGATGTGACTAAGGAGTTTTTCAGAAGGTAATTGAGAGTGCTCAACCACTTGTTCTACTGGAGCTAGATTAATAGCAATCTAGTAGAAATATTAATAATCACCCCTTTAATCAAAGCATCTACTCTGCCTGAAAGAGAAGCCAATCAATGATGATTAACTGATTCTGATCACACACCTTTCTAAATAATTGTAGGTCCTGAACCTGGAAGTGAGAAGTCAGATCTATACTCTAGAGCAGGGGTGGGCAAACTACAGCCCAAAGTCTGACTCTAGTCTGCTGCCATTTTTTGTACAGCTTGCCAAATAAGAATATTTTTTACATCTTTAAATGGTTGAATAAAAATTGAAAGATGAATCATTTTATAACTCAAAAATTATATGAAATTCAAATTTTAGTGTCCATAAGGTTTTATTGGAACCTAATCACAGTTAATCATTTACATATTTTCAATGGCTGATTTTGCACTACATTGGGAGCAGTAAGTAGTTTCAACAGAGACCAGACATGATGCTTTCATCACTTTGTGACCACACTACAAATTATAGTGATATAGTTATTACTTGACAGTGTTTTGAGTGCTGTGCATATCACTGTACTATAACATTTTATCTATTTCTGTTACTGTCAGTGCATACCCATTGTATCAAAATGGGAAGAGAAAAGGGAACTTTAAATGTCATACTTTTAGGCAAAGGGAAGTGTAGATTATTTTCTTATGAATTAGATGCCAAATCATTGTCTTTGTTATGCCATGACACTATAGCTATGCTAAAAGAATACAATATACATTAACATTCCTAGGCTAAGGATTTATTAAAATATTTAACAACTCACAGGAAAGCAACAGTGAGACAAATTAGAAAATTTAAAATCACAGTAGAATTTCTTCACAAAAATAAAAAAATTAAAATGAGGCTGATACCACATTAAGTTTTGAGTGGCCTGTTAGCCAAGTCAGTAAATCTGTTTACTGATGGCAGGTTGTCAAAATAGTGAAGAATGTGTCCAGAGAAAATAAACTTTTAAACTGTTAGCCTCTTGGGGAGAATAATTCAAAGACCTGAAGACATTGAGAATGACATCAATAGTCAATTTAAAAAAAAACAGGGAAAATGATTTCAGTGATTTTTTCTTATCTCTTGATGAGTCAACATCCATTGCTGATTCTGCTCAGTTTTTATTTCAGGAGTCAATGCCAGGTTTGAAGTGGCATAAGAATTAGCCTCTGTGAATAAGTTGCACATTACAGTTATGGGGGAATATTTTCAAAGTAATTGAGAAACACTAATCAGGTAAGTGGAAATGGAATCTGTATTACAACTGATAGGGGTAAAAATATGTGTGATGCGGGAAAAAAAGCTCAGTTGGACAAATTTACAGGCGTTAGTAGAGCTAGACAGTCTTAAGGATCATTTGATCTAGCCTTAATTTTATATACATGAGGAAACTGACTCAGCAAGGTTAAGAAACTAGCCCAAGATTGTATTGGTATGTAAAGTAGAACTGAATGAATAGAATATTCTCATTTTTTAAAGTTCAGAAGTTTAGGGACCCTTCTGAGCATTCTCTGACACCTCTGTGAGAAGCCATACTCACCCAATGCCTTTAGGGATGGGGTTTTCCTAAGAACAAGGGTGTCTCTGGAGTGGGTGGGTAATGAGGGGGTGGAGACCAGCAGGAATATGTATTGAGCCTTTTTCTTTTACAGATCTGAAATTTAAATATATGGTCTTCTTGATTTTTGAGGTGATAAAATATTTAAAGTACTTGCTTAAGTTTTATCTGTGGGGCCAGTAAGGTGATTTCCCCATCTAGTTATGACATTTTTTTCCTGTTTAATTTTCCTTGTGCATTTGTTAGCTAGAATGAATCATTATATTGTAAAATCTTTGAGGCATGGATCTGTGATATTCTATGATTTGGTAACTCCACAGTGTCTGGTATATAGTACATTCTCATGTATCTCTAACCCTCACTAGTCATCTGAAAGTTGGGCAATAGATAAGAAACATTTGCATAACGAGAATACTGATCAATCCTGTTACCAGTAGACATTTCAAAGGAAATAATCAGAATTGCCCCACATTGTCTTATTATCCTTTTCCACCTGAATGTTTACAGAAGATATATAATGTAGAGATGGGGAAAATTTCTTATTGGAAGTTAGTAGAACTGCCTTTTCTCCATTACCAGCATGGCATGTAGATGGAACTACTTGGCTCAGTTTTTCCAAGGAAAACAATATTATTTTGTGATTCGATGTGTACCAGGAAAATAAACTCAAGTTATGTAATGAAGAGCTATGTCTTAACATATACCCAGTTTTCCCCTTTGATAGATGTTACAATCAGCAGCTCTTTGTACTTGCCAAATTTATTTTTAGCATCCCTAACCCTTGTGCTGGAGATAAACATTTCAAAGAATAAAACTTGCAGCATACCCTAGTGGGAAATAAGGGCTCAATAAATATGTTTTATTAATAGTTTGTGATAAAAATAGACCTCCCAAATATATAATGGTGCAATACAACAGAACTTTATTGCTTGTATATACAAGAGTTTGAGATGGGTGTTCTTCCTTGGCAGGTGGGTTTTCTTTACACAGTGACTTGGAGACCAGGTTTCTTCCACCTAATGGCTATGCCTTCCCTGCAGGGCATCACTGCATCCAGCTGGTAAAAAGTGTAAGGGGGGATATATGGGGAAAGGGATTACCCTCTTTTTTAAAAGTCTTAGCCTAGAAATTGCACACTACCTTACTGCTCGTATTCTATTGACTAAAACTCTGTCATATAGCAACACCTAACTATAAGGGATGGTGGGAAATATAGACCAGAAGTATGCTGAGAAAAAAGATGTCATAGATATTTTTTATGATTTTCCTTCCATCCTCCCACCCTCTTTCCTTCCCCTTTCTTTCTCTTTCTTCCTTTTTCATTTTTATTTTGAGATAATTTTAGACTTTAGAGTTGCAAAGATATTCCCTGAATACCTTTCTTTCAGCTTCTTATGTTATTATCCACATAACCATAAAACAACTTTCAAAACCTAACACAATACTATCAACTGTAGACCTTTCTCAGCTTTTACTAGTTTTCCCCATAATGTCATTTTTCTCTTCTAGGATCTGATTCATTTAGTTGTCACGTTTGCTTAGTTTCCTCCAATCTCTAACAGTGCCTGTCTTTGTTTTTTATGACTTTTTGAGAGTCAGTAATTACTGTTCAGTAATTTTGTAAAATGTCACTCAATTTGGGTTTATTTGATGTTTTCTCATGAGTGGATTAAGGTTATGCATAATAGGGAAGGCTACCATAGACTGGAGGTGATCTGCCCTACTCAGCATGTCGTATCAGGGGGTATATGATGTCAATGTGTATTATAGGTGATGTTAACCTTGATCACTTGGCTAAGAGGGGGTCTTCCAGGATTCTCCACTATAAAATCACTATTTTTCTCTTTGTAATTATCAAATATTTTAGAGAGATACTTTAAGAATATGCAAATATTCTGTTTTCATTCTAAACTTTCACGCCTGTAATCCTAGCACTCTGGGAGGCCGAGGCGGGCGGATTGTTTGAGCTCAGAAGTTAGAGACCAGCCTGAGCAAGAGTGAGACCCTCATCTCTACTAAAAATAGAAAGAAATTAATTGGCTAACTAAAAATATATAGAAAAAATTAGCTGGGCATGGTGGCGCATGCCTGTAGTCCCAGCTACTTAGGAGGCTGAGGCAGGAGGATTGGTTGAGCCCAGGAGTTTGAGGTTGCTGTGAGCTAGGCTGATGCCATGGCACTCTAGCCAGGGCCTCAGAGTGAGACTCTGTCTCAAAAAAATAAAATATAGGTATTATTAAGTTGGCAGGTCTACTTGTGCGTATTAGAAAGGAACAAGGCTAAAGTTTATTAGACATTTACTATGTACATGCACTGTGCAATGAGCTTTACATATATTAACTAACTGAATCCTCTCTCACCTTTATGAGGGTAATATATTAGCTCCATTGTATATATGAAGAACCTGAGGCACAGGGAGATTACATAACTTGCCCTAGATTGCACAGTTAATAGGAGTGGAGTTAGGAATTGAACCTCGGTGATCTGGCTCTAGAGTTTGCACTCCTAAATTAACCACTTCACCATAAACTTGTGCCCTGGTTGTAGCCATTTGCAGGGCTGATAATCATCTAGTACACAGTGGTGTGGCTACACTATTTCTGTTCTGGTTGGTCAGTGCCTGTGCCCTACAGATAAGCCTGGTCACTGGTAAATAAAAATGTTTGTGTTTCCTAATTAATGTTTGAATTGAGCAAGTGTTTCACTTGAAAGTGTAAGTGAACCTCAGGAAACTTGTGTGTGTGTGTGTGTGTGTGTTTATGATTGGAGGCACACTAACTTAAACATTGAACAAGTATTGGGCCGGGCACAGTGGCTCATACCTCTAAACGTAGCACTCTGGAAGGCTGAGGCAGGAGGATTGCTTGAGCTCAGAAGTTTGAGGTTGCAGTGAGCTACAATGATGATGTCACTGTATGCCAGGATGACACAGTGAGAACCTGTCTCAAAAAAAAAACAAAACAAAAAAAGAAAATTATTGGACATGTATTTTTAAATTGTTCTTCCCAATTTTGAGGCATGAGTTTATGTTTGCCTTTGTCCACAATATATAAGTAGTATGGTTCTTGTTTAAAGGTGATTATTAGATATGTGACTGGGTGTGTTACAAAGAAATCCAAATGGGGTCACCAGTTTTCTACTCTTTCTATATGTCTGGCACTAGCTTGGTAATTTGGCTCCTATCTCCTATTTGGCTCCTTGGTGATTTGGCTCCTATTTAGTTCAGTTTACAATTCTGCCTATTTTCTTCCCAGCCTGCCAAGTATTTCTGGTCTAATAGAACTTACTCCATTTCTGAGGTTTATGTGATGTCTGATATGCTCACTTTTAAGGCGGGTGATCCTGTGGACTACACCAAAGAATTACATTCACATGCCTTGAGATGATTTTTTATAACATTCTTGCTATTAGCTGTCCTGCTTCAATTCACCTTGAACCATTTATATGTATGTAACCATTACATGTATTTATAAAGCCATGAAGTTCTCCTGCACTTGTAGGGAAAATGCTGGCTGACAGTGGGAAAGCTGGGCTTTTGTTTTGGCTCTGCCCATGACTTACTCTGTTACCTTGGGAAAAATAACATAGCCTCTTTGTGGTTTCGTTTTCTTATCCGCAAAGATCAAACGGATCTTATCTAGCTGCGGCATTCTTTGATTCAATGCTTCAGTGAGTTTTAGTGTAGTTTGATGGATGATTCGTCTCGCCATTTAAATAAATGCTAAGTACAGCACCCAGATAATACTGGTAGAAGGTGGCTATGTTTTTACTTTTCTAAGAAAGAAGAACAGCAAAGGATGACATTGTGTAAAACTTGCTTTGAAGATTCATATAGTACTATTGTCTGATAAGACCAAAGAAAAGTGGCCATACTATGGTTCATTGATCCTAAAAGACCACTCATTTAAAAATACATCCCATTTTCAGAGACGATAAAATGTAGAAAATTATGCATCTTACATTTGATCAAATATGGTAGGAAAGCCCCAGGGTCAACTCTCTGTCACTTGAGTATAGATTAACCAGCCACCTTTTGGAGCTTAGTCTGCTTGACTCTCAGATAGGGTCTATATTCTTACCACATGGTTTGTTCTAGGACTAGAGTGTCATTGATTAAGTATGCCTACCTAGTGAGGCTGTGGTGGGACTTGAAGGCTCAGCTCAAAACTACAATTTCAGCGAAGATTTGCCTCCTCTTACCTTCTCAGTCAGACACAACCACACTCTTCTGTATCCTTACAGAATCTGTACACACTGCTTTCATAACACTTAGCACATTCTGTTGTAGTAATTTTCTTTCTTTTCTGTTTCTCCTACTAGATTATGAGCTACATAAAGGCCTCTTAATGTACAGTAGTGGGCTGTAGCCTGGGATATAGTAGACATCCACAGTGTCTTATTGAAGGGATAAAGGTCAGAAGGTGGGAAGGAAGGAAAGGTGGATGACTGTTTTGTGGATTATAATAGCAGTTTTTAGATTACTCAACTATTACTCATTACCAGGAAAAATGCTACAAAATGAGTTTTACATGAAGGTTTAACTTTTAGGTAACAACATTATTCCACAAGCCATTAGGAAAACCACATTATTTAGAGGCAAAAGTGCTCTGGGTACAAAAAAGTTTTACTAGACTAAGTACCAACCATCAGATGCCAATTTGAACCAATGTCACAGAAGAATCTTATCATAAAGGGTGCTTTGCTCCAACACTAAAACTGGTTCTATGATTTTGGGCAGTTACCATACCTCTCTATGCCTCAGTTTCCTAATCAGCAAAATGGGAATAATCATAGCCTCTGACAGAATTTCTGTAACAATGAAATCACATAATGTTTGTAAAACACCTTAGCACAGTACCTGGCACATAGAGAAGGAAATAAATGTTAGTTATTGTTATTATCAGTATATACGTCATCATTGGGCAGAGAGTTGTTGACCAAAAGAAGTGTTTTATTGGTCTCATTTGGCAATTCTTTCAAGGGTTTTTTCCTTAAACCCCAAGATCATAATTTAAGACTCAGCTTCCTTATTCCATTTCCTTAACTTTGAGCACTATATAAGTACTCCCTTAAGAATTCTCATTCTTATTGGGGATATTTTTTCTCTTCTCCTTTCTTTTTAGTGAATTGCTTGTTTCTTTCTGCCAATGGACAACTCAGCATTTGAAATGCATGGAGATGCACCACAGAAGGGTTTGTCTGTGGAGAAGATGAACATTATCTCCAGAATGGTAAGGTGGGGATTTACATCTTGAGATTTAGTTCTGCCCAAGACCTTTATGCAGAGCTCAGGACAGAATCCCTCTTTAGACCAGCTCTCCTTAAGTGACCCTTTTCAGAAAGATAGCATCTCCTACTCTGAATATTTCCTAATTTGCCTTCTCTCTGATAAATTGTAAACGTACACCTGCTTTAGCTCTTTAATGGCCCAACTTTCTTTGAATTGTTGCTCACTTTATTAGTGAGTGCTTTTGACTTAATGGTTCTTATCACAAGGTAAAATATTTCCATCTTAATTGGGGCCTTCTAAATGCATTGTCTTTATATTGATTGGTGAACATCAGACAAGTTAAAGGGGGAAACTTATTTTTATTTTTTTGTTCAGCTGGTTTTGTACTCTCCCTCTTTATTATGTTTGCTTTCTCTGTCAATTTTGGGAAGCAGAATAATGATTTTTCTTCTCTTCTATTTAAAAGGATCCAGGCGTGGGTTTTTTAAACTCTAGGTTGTAATCCACTAGTGATGAAGTCAATATATGGGTTGGAATTGGCATTTAAAAATCAAAAAAGTAACAAATAAGTGTTGTTTTGTGAAACTTTTGTTTCAATGGTGTGTATGTATGTACTTATGTGTGTTGTAAAGGTAAATGTATTTCTTAATGTGGATGTGGTAAAAAATATTTGAGAAGCACTAATCAAGACCAGTGATTAAGGAAAAAATATTAATGTCTAATAAAGCAATACTCTTTGAATATATAAAGTTATATGCTATCTTTTTATTTTTTTAGCATAAATATGACCTTAGAGATATATGAAAATACAAGCTTTCCTTTGAGAACACTGGACCATAAGTATTAATTGAAATTTTAATGATCAGGCTGGGCATGGTTGTGCACACCTGTATTCCAGTTACTCAGGAGGCTGAGGTAGGAAAATCGCTTGAACCCAGGAGTTTGAGACCAGTCCAGGCAACAACATAGTAAGACCTTGTCTCTACAAAAAAAAAAAAAAAATTAATGATACTGAAATGATATGCAGTGGTAGCACTGTGGTTTGGTGGAAATAGCACACAGAATCAGGAGGGATTCTTCCTGGACCCACAATTATAGATAACAGTGTGGCTTTCCATAAGTCATTGTTCCTCCCTGGGCCTCCTCCCAGGGAGGGCCTTAGCTCCTCCCTGGGCCTGGGCCTCTCCCATGGGACATAATGGTTGAGCTAGACTCTTTAAGAGTCTTTCCAATGTAAAATTTCTGTCTTTATGTCTTGAGAGTAGTTCCTCTCAGGACCCTAAACACAGAACTCAAGAAAGACTCTTTTCACCAGCTACCTTGTTAAGAAAAGTAGTACTTACTCCTCTGATTATTTTCTGATTCAACATCAAATAAATTTCAACTGTGATTTTAAAAGTATATACTTTCACTATGTTTGTCAGTCAATTTTAGTTGAAGGTAGTAGAAAAAAATTTAAGAGATTGAGAAAGGAGGCAATATTTCTAATGTAGTATAAGTAGAGAATAATGATTTCATAATTTCTCCTAGGAAAAGAAGAGACAGTGGTCATTGGTGAGCATTTTCCTGCTGTGTCTCCTGGCCTGCACCATTACCACAGCAGTAGGAGTACTGATTCTTTCCTTGGTTTATATTAACAACTCTCAGCCTCATTCAGATGTTTATTTCAAACCTGAAGCCCAGCCTCTGCAAACAGAAGTTCCCATGGTGCAAACAGCTGTTGATCCAAAATTCCAGTTTCTTAATCACTTACCTAAATCCAAGGTAAGAATCACACATATTAGGGAAAAACATTATTCTAAACAGCAATTTCAGAATCAGCTGTGAGCCAGCAGGAATAAGAGAGGTAAGGAACAGAGAAGAGAGGAGAGCTGGGTTGATGTTGGCCTCAGGCAGAAATTTTCTTCAGTAGATAGTTCTATATCTGGCTAGAGCAAAGAATTGCAGTTGGACAAATGGAAATCCCTGTATTCTTTTGCCAACCTAGGTGTCTTTTTTATGTCTAACAAGATCTAGACTGATATTACATAGCATTGCATGTACCATTATTGTCATTCCTGGACTCTTGCAGACTTATTCCTCATCTTCCTTTCTGGGAATCCAGAATTCACCTTGTTTTGTCCATTTTACCTCCTTCTTACTGTGTAGGCCATGTTGGCTTTACATTCCTTAGGAGATGGCCTCTGTGCTGATGGTTGCCTGTTCATGATTTTTTAGGTGTTTGAGTTTGCTGGTGGTGCAATCCAGTGGGCCCGGTACAGGAACAATGTCAAAGACTATCTCAGCGCTGAAGAAGAGGCCTTTGGCACCAGCTTGAACAGTCAGAGATCACAGATGACCCTGGGGACCCTAAGAATAAAAAGCAATGGCCTCCGGGCCCCTCACTGGCACTTCAATGCCAACGAACATGGCTATCTTGTACAGGTACAACCAGTTTGCCCACACTCTGCTCTTAAGCATCTAGATTGTATGTCCTCAGGGTATTATTTTAGTTGTTATAAATCTTACTTAAGTAAATGATAGACAAAAATTCAGGCTTTGGCTATATATTCAATTAGATTGGTTAGCAGTGCCTTGAAGCATTAGCCTGTTTGTTTTAATTATTTTTGGCATCACTTTGAACTTCTTTCTTCAGTGTGAAATCATTTTCACACACTATTGTTAAAGTAAGATCACTGTTTAGCCCTTTGAGCCAAAGCTAAAACTGGTAGCTCTGATCTAATGATCAAAGAAACGGTAGCTTTCTTCCAAGGAAAAAAAGCCGCAATTAGAATAACAAACTAGTTTGCTGATGTTCGGCCTGGTGTCTATAAGATCAGGCCAATTGGATGCCCTTTTGCAGTTCAGACTTTTCAGAATGTTCTTGAAGTCAAATAAAATAGAGATAGCTGGAGGTGAAATGAATATACTTACCTGAATTTTAGATAATTCATTAATTCCCAAAATTTATTGATCTCTTTCTATTCCAGACACCAGGGAAACAATAACGACTAAGCCCTCACAGAACTTTCTGAGTTTGGTCTTACCCTGGTGATCTGCTTAATTGATGTGTAGCCAATTTTATATGGCATTTTTGTTTTTGTTAATAAAGCCACCTTTTTTTATACGAGGACAATTCATTCAATTTTAGAATTTAAAACAGGAAGAAAGATTAGAGTTTCATTTATATGAGATAAAGCCCTTCTTATTTCTCATGAGAGAACAGAGGCTCAGAGAGATAAGTTGATTTTAAACTACAGTTTAAAAACGCAGTTGTTGGCTGGACTGGGAAAAAGCTTATGTTTTCTGATTTGTTGTCTTTTCCCACATATACAAAATTTATAAAACAGGACAATCTCTAAAAGATTAATTTTCATGGCCTTGGCTAAACAGTGGCAGAGTAGAAAGTAGGAGAAAGAAAAGTCAGCTACGTGGACTTTCCTGATGGGGGGACCCTAAAAACAAACTCTAAGCTAGAGAAATTGGTCTGGAGCATGCTGCAGTAGAACACAGGCCCTAGGATCCAGCTTAGCCTGAGGAGGCTGTTCTGGCAGCCAGAGAAAGTTCCTAATGTGAGCTTCTAAATGTGGACTGTATGAGTTGGTTATCCTCTAGATCCTAAGAAAGTTGTGGATCACTGACTCTCACAATCAGGGTAGGGGACCAAGTGATAGGATGTACAGTCAAGTATCCCCACTGCACTCACCCATGGAGATTGCTTCTGCTTCCCCATGTCTTCATGAAAACCTGGAAGGAGCTGTAAGAGGAGCAGGGAGGGTGATGTGGCTGGTGCACTCGGTTTCACAGTGATGGTCCCATCAGCCACTGTCCTGTCTCTGCTCTGCGTCTGGAGTAGTTGATGCTCTGATGGTAATAGATCCCTGCACATGGACAAGGAGAGAGCTCTTTAGAGGTTCACCTTTCCCCTGTATCTTGAATACCCATTTGGATTCTAGTTATATGTTGTCTGTGTAGACAAAACAATGACTTTTTTTCCATCCACCCTTGTGGCTGCTCTGCTATGTGAACATGAATCTCTGATAAAATAGAAATAATGCTATCTTTGCTATCTGCCTCACAGGGTAATACTAAGGAACAGTTTAGAGAATGAGAGAAAGTATAATTTTATATAAATAGAATCAAAGTATAGCAGGGATAAAAAGTATAGACTTTGGAGTCAGACTACTTAGGTCCACATCTCAGCTTTGCCTTTGAGTAGCTGAATAACCTTGGGAAAATCATATATTCTCTCAAAACTCATTTTTTTCTCTGTAAAATGGGAATAAGAATAGTACTATGCTTCATAGAGTTGATATAAGGATTAATTGAGCTGAATCAGGTAAAGTGCTTAAACAAATACTTGACACATAGCAAAGGCACTGTGTTAGCTATCATTATTAAAGTTGTCTGCAGAAATGTTCTTATCTGGAAAGCATACGCACATTTGTATGCATACTTACACACAAAGATGTATATGCACAAACATGTATACCTGTATCCTCACTTATGAACATGTATATGTCCTCTACACATGGTTTCAATCTTTTCAAACTCTAAAACATGGACTCTCAATGAAGGGTGATGTTTCCCACAAGGGGGCAAAAGTTGGTTCTTGGAGGGAAGGGACAAAAATTTTTACTCTTTTTATGTATAAATAATAGATATCCATATAATACATAAGCAGCATATGTATATAGTATACTTATCTACAGAATATGATATTAAAATTTCATAGGGTGCTAATAACAACAAAAGAGTCTAAAAACACCCTTAGAAGGAAGGTAATAAAAAATGTGTATAAACATTGCTCCAAAGTGATATTGGATATGCTTTTCTGTTTATGTTTCAGGGAACAGCATGGATTGGGGTGGTTGATGATGGTGGTGAAGTGGTTACCACATACAATGTTACAGCTGGCCAAGTGATCTTCTTCCCTCAAAATACACTACACTGGATAAAGAATGTGGGTAATGAAGACTGCTTTTTCTTGCTCTTCTTTTCTACACATGATGAACTTCAGACCCTGGATGTTGATGATGTATTTTTTTCTACACCTGAGGACATTGCTTCCAGGTCACTTAAGGTAGGTACCATTTCTAATAACAAATACCACCATGAAGATTACATAGGCACAAAGGATACATGAGTATTTATGTTTCTAGGGCAACAACCAGCTCAGGTCCAGAGGAAATTGGCCAATAGGTATGACAACAGTTGGATAATGGACTCAAAAGTATATCTTGTGTTCCTACTTAAGACAAAAAACTTGCTGAAATTGAGTTGTTTTTTATTTTCCTTTATGAAGGTCTTCCATAGGAAGCCATAATGTATTGGCAGAAAGATTATGATATAATTTATAGAAAAATTGCTGTAAGTTATATCCCTGAAAAGTCATAAACTCACTCATTCTTTTGGTGGGGAGAAGTTTGCTACAGATAATGTAATCATATTTTCTTAATCTCATGCAGAGGATCCCATACTTTTCCTGAAGAATCTCTACTTTTGATCTCTCCAAATATTTATGTTATCACTGGAGGAACCACTGCTAATGCTGGTTACAGAGGGTCAGGTGTGGATGCTGACAGTGGAGATGGGTGGGGAGAGTTGATGCTGGCTTATGACTGGCAACTAGAGGGAGTTCTGTGATAAGCTTAGAATTTACATAGTAATTTTTTGAGAGCTGCCTTGTATGGGACTTTATTCTAATGCTGTAGGGAGAAGTAGGAGAAATGAGTCGTTAGGGAGAGTATTGGTAAGCATGGGAACTAGTGTGTACTTTTGCAGGAGTATTAAAAAACCCAACAAATTTAAAATCAAAATACATTGAAAACTTTGGAGACTTTTCATAAATATCACAAGCCTGAGGCTGATCAAGGTCAGCTCTTCTGCCTGGGCTACTGAAAACCACACTGGTGCTAATGCTTCGGTAACCTCAGCTACCCACCCTTGTATTACTAAAATGTGTGCGATGTTTCACAGATATCTTATGTGGTGTCTTATTTGTTTCAGCCTGAAGGTGGAATTGATTTCATTAGAACATTCAGTAAGCAAAAAGAGGATCAGGGGGTCAATCTTCCTCCCAACTTGGCAGAACTGGTTATGAATGCTAGTTATGTACAGTCTCCAGACAGCCTTGTGTGGAGATACTTTTTTGACCTTAAAGGTATAGTATGTTATTTTGTGAAGCCTTTTTAGTTAAGTGTTATTATATATGATAATATATAATCATATATTTGATTGACATGTGTTTTTTATGGTGGGCCACAGTCAAGGGAAATTTGAAAAAAACACATTTCTCAACAGAGTAGACAATGTAAGAAAAGGCCTGGAGGCAAAAGACAATGTGACAAAGGATTTCAAAGTGTGAGGGGTATATGTTGGGGTTGAGGGTTGCTGCAAGAGAAGAGGCTGATGCCAGAGGAGGTATCCAATCATGCAGGGTTTGAAAGCCATGCTAATGGGTTTGTATTATATATTGATTGAAAAGAGGAGCAACTGAGGGGTTTTAAATAAAAGAGTGACACAATTTGTTTTGCTGTTTGAAGTGATGACCACTCTGGCTGAACTGTAGAGAGTAGATTGGAAGGGGACAGATGGGAGGTAAGGAGATGAGTGGGGGGGGGCGGGGGGCTCTAACAGTCCTTCATGTGGGAGATGATGGTGGATAGAATTGGTGTGAAGCAAAGAATTTAAAGAGGCAGAGCAGACAGGACTTGACACTTAACTGGTTTGAAGGGTAAGTGGAGATTGGTGTTTAGGATGACTCTCAGGTTTTCTAGCCAGGTCCCCTAAGTTGATCAGTTTATTCTAATGAGGACACTCTATGTTAGAAATTTCAAGAGAGCTTAGAAGATAAAATAATGTCTGTCTATGTCAGGTTACTATCTTGGGGGCTTATATAATCTTGTTTCAGCAACTCCCACTACATACATTTTCTGTGTCTATAGAAGAGCTGTATCCTTTACTCAGACTAAATTTGGCTATCCATTGAAATACGATTTTGAAGTATTTAATCTTGTTTTGTTTCTTAAACTTCATTTGGCTCAGGTTCAAAAGAATTTCAATTTCCAGGAGGAGTAATACAACATGCACAATATTGGAAAAATGGAAGTGAACTAAACAACAATGAAAAAATTTTTAGTGAATTCTTGAATCAGGTAATTGAGAAAATTGTTTTGATGAGCATTAAGATGGATGACATATGAGATTTAGATTGAATTAAGGCTTCTTTTGGACAAAATAAAAAGGAAATGTCTAGTCAAACATTGGTTGATTTGATCAATGTAAGCTGTTAATTGAAGCGTCAATGTGGATTTAGGAACTTAATTTCTCTGGCATGGATAATTATATTAATGAAAAGACTGGATATTTGTGAGAATTCTCTTTTCATTTGTTATAAATGCTCAACTGCCTGTATTGCGTAGTTGTGGTGTCAGATTCCCTGAGTTCAGATGCCAGTTCTGCCACTTTTTTAGCTGTGTGACCCTAGGCAAATTCTTCAATCAATTTAGATTGTAATTCCATTATCTGTAAAATGGGGAGAATACTACTACCAAGTTTATAAGATTGTTGTGAGGAATAAGTGATATAATAAATATAAAAGATATAGGGAATTGAATATTCTCAGTGAGGGCTGAATAAATATTATTGTTAGTAAATAGTTATGATTATGTAAATTATTAAGTTGTAGAGTAAGATGTTGGCTAATTACTGGATTTCTTTTTTCTTTTTCTTTTTTTTTAAGCATCAAAATGCCCTTACTTTGAGTACACTCAGAATTTATAACAATGGATTACGACAGCCACATTTTCATTTTAATGCAAATGAAATGGGATATGTGCTAAGTGGATGTGGAAAGGTAATTCTCAATTCAGATTTTTTTGAGTTTCTTTTTTAATGCAGAAAGAAGCAAAGGGGAGGTAATTCTTTGTTTTGGTTCAGTTATTAGTAACGTTAAAGGACTGACTCAGTGCTAATGCCTTTCTGAACACAGTTTCTAGAGAGGATACCATGCAGACCTTGCTAGATAGTTTGCAAGTTTAATGAGATAGAACAATTCAAAATGTGCAGAAGAAGAGGCTAAGAATATTTCAGAAGTGCTAAAGATGTTATCACTTATGGATGGTATGCAGCACTTGCATAGGTTTTCAGAGTTTTGCATCCTCTGGTAATGCATGTGGAAGTTGCTGCCCTTTGTGGGAGTGTGAAATAACTGTTTGCCTCTCAGTGTACTATACATGGGGGTAGCTGGGGAGGTGTGGAGCATCAGTAGGGTGGCCATATATTCCAGTTTGTCCAGGGTGCTCCTGATGGATACTTATTGTCTTGGTTAAATTACTGATAGCACCCCCTTTGGCTCTCCAGAGAGCCTGGTTTGTATGATCAGTCACACAGGTACCATAAGAAAAGCCAAGCTGTGTAGTGTGTTACTTAATGATTTGACTGTGGTTCCTCCAGACTTTCATGGGGTCCCTAAGGAAATCAGTAATATTATACACAAGTGAAATGAGCTTCTCTAATGTTTATCTTTCTCAATCTTGAAAGAAAGAACCAAAACCAGACTGAAATTTACTCATATGTCATCCATAGCAAAGGTTTTGTTTTATGTTTTTAGAGGTGAAGGCTTAATAAATTGGAAAAGGGAATTGTAATCTTTCATAAATTATATTTCAAGGATTAGACTTTATTTTTATTGTGCTTGTATGTGTGCATTTGTGTACAAATTTGGTCTTTTTTTTTTTATTATTAGAGACAGGTCTTGTTCTGTCACCCAGGATGAAGTGCAGTGGCATGAGCATAGCTCACTGTAACTTCAAACTCCTGGGCTCAAGCCATCCTCCCACCTCAGCCTCTGGAGTAGCTGGGACTACAGGCACATGCCACCATTCCTGGCTAATTTTTTTTTTTTTTTTTTAATAGAGATGAAGTCTTACTATGTTGCTCAGGCTGATCTGCCTTGACTTCCCAAAGTGCTGGGATTACAGGCATGAGCCACTTCACCCAGCCACAGATTTAGTCTTTAACCCTCTTAAAGAAGACTGTTAGGATGTGGTTCTCCTAGAACGCTGACTTTTTCTAAGCAAGTAGAAAGAAAGGCATGATGGTAGTAAAACATTGAAATGTAAATCCTCTACTTGATGTTTTAGGAAACATCATTTGTAACCCTTAATTAGAACATGGTGATTGATGCCCTTTTTCATGATGTTCTGCATATTGAACTCTCTAATATATTTTAAGGAACATTTAATTAAATAGAGTATCTTGATTTTTGTGGGGCTATGTCTCTGACCCAGGAGATTTTATGTGATGGCTGGCTTCTATCTTCCATTCTCTACCCTTACTAAAAGGTCCCTGTATAACCATGTGCTTTTATTCATCTGTTCTTCACTATTAATACTTGTTCCTAATAAATATTTGCTTTTATTTGCTTAACTTAAATACAGTATTCCCTCCTTCCCCTCCCTCTCCCCACTTTAGGTGGGCATTACTAGTACTCAAGGTGCCATAGAATTTAATATTCACATTGGAGATGTGATATTTTTCCCCATTGGAACCCAGCATTACATTAAGAGCACATGTGATGAAGATTTGCTTTTCATCCTTGCCTTCAGCACTGGGGACCAGGTAAGAATAAACTAGTTTAAGAGAGATTGCTGAGTGTCAATGATCCGCACAGTATTCTGCTAAGCAGTGTGTCTGGACCAAAGGGGCCCTCAGTAAATATGTGTTAAATGAATGAATGAACTGGATATACCAAGGTGTGAAGAGAAAGAGAATCAAATAGTCTTTTCATTTGTTTATAGAGGGATCCAATATATCACATTCCCTTTTAATTCCCCAAATTACGAACTGAGAAAAAAGGTAAAATAATTAGTATATAGAGATCCATGAAAACACTTTTATTACAAATAAAGCAAATATTAGAAAATGTGACTGATCCTGTGGGCAAATGGGTTTCCTAATACTGGTCCCCAGAATTGGATAGGCCTCCCCATGTTGAGGCAGGTTCTAGTACACCTTATAGATAGCATAAAGTAACTGAGCATGCTCTTTGGAAGTCTACCAGCTATTAAATAGAATGAAGGAGGAGCTAAAGAGAACATGCCCAATCCCAAATGTCCTATGGGGTGGTGGGTCAGAGAGAAAAAGAAAGAGGGAAATGGAAGGGTTTTTTTTTTTTTTTAAATACAAAAAGATACTTTAGGAGTAGCATTTCTTTCTATCATTGTCTATTTTAAGCAAATCTAATATATGATGATCTGTGTATACAACACATAAATTAAGAGGACTTATTCACTGCATTGAATAAATATTTGCTTTTAAAAATTCACCCCAAGGCTCCTTAATTAGTGAAATAATGGATTTGGATAATAGAGATAAATTGTGGGATTTAGATTTTTAAAAGTTCTTAAGACTAGGTTACCTTCTGAGAGTGGGTAAGAAGTATAACCATTTGATTAGGCACCCCTGGGGGAAGTCCAGGAACAGATAAGCATTTCTCTTGGCTGTGGTTCTTCCTGCAAGGAATCCCAATAAAGTCTCCAGGGAAGAGCACAGCATAAATTCTGCAGTATCACCGACAGGGCCTAAGCCCAAAGTGGGGCCAGGTTCTTCCTGGTGATGCTCATTTCCCAGGAAACTGGCACATTCTAGCACCTGGGTCTCAAAATCTTCCTGGGCATATTTGGTGTGAGGTGTGTGGAGAGTTATGTGAGAAAGAGGTAGAATCAAAACGTGGCTGCCTATAATGTTGTGAGAAGGAAGGATTCCAGTGACCCCTACTTTTGGTGTGGGTCTCACGCTACTGCCACCCCTTTGCTCACCATTCTCTATAGCCAACATAAAGCAAAATCAGATCACATAAAATATAAATAGGAAAAGAAGGAAAAACTCAAATTAAAAATAGTTAGTTGGAATTTAAAAAATTAAGAATGAGAAAAGAGAATTAAAAATGTGTAGAATAAAAATTTTATGTAAGTGTTAAATCTTATAAAAGTAAAAAGTTAAGAATTAAAATAAACATTGGTGATAAAATAAATAAGATTTAATGTGATATGAAAGGCTAATACCAACAAATTAAAACTTAAAATATGAAAGAAGAATAAAAATGGTACTTGAAAAACATTAAATCCAAGCCCCAAATTAAAGAATACAAATCTTTTAAAAACGGAATAGAAATATGGAGTTTGTATTCCATGGAAAAGAAACAATTTAATGGGTGCTTCACAACAGAGAAGAAAGAAATGAACCCAAATTTTGGATAGAAGGGATTTGTTTATTCCTATCCACCCGCCCGGCTCCAGAATATGCACCCTGATGGAGGCTAGTACATTACCCCATCAGAGTGGGTGATGGGAAGTGTTTCTAATGAGGATATATTTTGCATAAAGAGTATGAAGGGAAAGAGGAGAGAGGGAGGATGGAGAGAGAGGTAGAAAGAGAGGCAGAGAGAGAGAGGGAAACATATACCTAGAGAGAAACACAAAGAGAGCCACACACATGGAGGGACAGGCACACAAAGATAGATATAGAGGGAGATACACATAGAGAGACTCACATACACACACAGAGACAGACACAGAAATAAAGAGAAAGATACACAGAAACAGACATACAAAGAGAGTTACACACACAAAGAAAGGGAAACAACACAGACACACACAAATAGAAGGATATATACAGACACACACATACCCACACACACCTATACACAGAGGAAGACAGAAAGACACACATAGGGAAAGACATACATAAAGATAAACACAAACGGACACACACACACACAGGGACAGGCATGCATAGAGACAAACACACAAACACATAGAGACAAGCAAGATTCAGAGACAGATATTCACAGAAACACACATATAGACACACAGAGAAACAGTGAGACACACACACACACACACAAATGCAGAAATGGAGAGGCAGGCTGCTGCCTCCCCAGGACCAATTACCTGACAGCACGTTTTGCCTCATCGCATGCTTCTGGGCATGAGCTCTGAGAACCCCTTTTGTACCTGCTCACAGGAAGACAGTCCAGCTCTCTCATCAAAGAGAATGACCTCCCAATAGGGCAGATGTCCCTTCTAAAGAAAGCTTCAGATGCCTCAGCCCCTCTAGCCATCAGACTATGCTTACTCCTCAGAGTTGAAAAGGTGAGCTCCCTATGGCAAGGGAAGACTGGCACCCAAGGTGACCATGTGCAGGCATTTATAGCTGTGTAAAGTTAGACCGCCAGGTACCTTGAAGTACTACAAAATGCCTTGAGAGCTGTAGGATTTCTGCAGGAATCGGAATAGTTTGATGTTGACATTATCTTCTTTTGTTTATACTGACAGCTGCAAACCCTTGACATGGACGATTATCTACAGGCCACAGCAGACCATATCTTGGCCCAGTTATTCTTCAAGAAGCAAAGTGAGTTTAAGAAGATTCCCAAATTCAAGGAAGACCAGGCAATTAACCTGCCTTAGAGTTGCTGATGAGCTCATATCTCTTCTTCCTTCTCTGCTTGTCATTGTTTAAGAAGAACCACTGCCTAATGAACTTGGAGCTTTTTACAAAGTGGAGAAAATGAAAAAACAAATTCAAAGCAGCCCTATGGGCTTATTTAGCTGATAGTTATTATAGCTAATTCATGCTAAGAGAACATTTCAGTATTTGCTATGTAGATTAGTAGATCTATTGATAGACCCAATGAATTAAATTAATATATTTTTGTATGGATTTTAGTATTTGTATATATATTTCTTTATCTTCCATTATTGAAAATTTATTACTCCAAATGTAAATCCATTCTTCTTATGCACATCAGGAAAACTTAATACTATGCAAGCATTTTTGTTACTTATCGCTGTGAAAGGAAGTAAAGAAGTCACCTTTGTATGTACATACTGAGGCACTGGAACCCTGATACATCAAACCTCATCTGTAGAGTTTATTGTAGACCCCTAGGCTGGTGATGCTCATCCTTTTTTGGCATGAATGAAAATACTTTTTATAATGTTTACACTTTCAAAGACTCATTCATACTATAGTATTTGTATACTTATTGAGAAAATATTTAATGATAAACAGATTATGAATTCAACATCACCTTTGAATGTATTTAAATTTTATTAATCATACCATCTTTGAACATATTTGACTTTCCTTAATCACATCATCATCTATTTATATTTGAGAAATAGTTGTCCTTATGTTTGAAAAGCATATGGTTTATTTAGTCTACTAATAATGCTGGCTGTATATATGGAGATTCAAGGATACCTTATTATCATTCTGAAGCTGGTAGTCTCCAAGTTGGGGGTCACTGTCTTACGTGGAAAAGAATTTGTTTAGATCTAATCTGTGCTTGACTTTTGCAATGTATTTTAACAGGCATTTGGTACCCCTGTAGTATGCTGGGTACTGCCATCAGTTCTGGGCTATCCTATATAAAATTTTAAAGTATATATAGCTAGTTTTTAATGCCTTTGGCCACCACCCTCTTTCAATCATTGCCCTGACACCTAATGATGATTTTAAAAATGTCTCAGGTTGGTTGTTTCTAGCCTACAAAGAATCTGTATGTTTGTTCTCTCACTATGGACTGTAAGTACAGAATACAGTGAAAATCAGGAATGGCTCACTTTTATCAGAGGAAGGTGGCCACCTCCATAATAGACTCTAGAAACAACAATAAGGTAGCCTCTCTCTGCCCTTGACCATTTGTTGGTTCATGTATTCATTCATTCATTACACATTTACAAACAATGACTATAAGCTAACATTATGCTAGATGTTAGGGATATAAAGTCAACTAGTAAATGATCTCTGTTCTCAAGGAGTTTACAGCCTATTGAGGGACATAGAAAAACAGTGATACATTGTGATAGCACTATGGTAAATGTGCTAAGTGTTATGTATGCATATACACACACTATATGTCTACATACATACATATATAAATGAGACACTAAATCCAGTTATGGGCACCAGGTGGGGATGTCAAGAAGGTTTCCTGGAGTAGCTCTAAATGAAGATTAAGAGTTAGCCAAAGCATGAAGAGGAAGGTGGAAAGTGTGTGTGTGTGATAGCTGCTCCAGGCTGAAGGTTGAAGGAAGCAATTATGCCAGGCATGGGAGTATGAGAAAGAAGTTCATTGTGGCTGGAAAGGTGAGACCCCACAGTGAGAGGTGAAGGTGGAGACATAAGGAGGGATCAGATCAGAAGAGACCTGTTATCCCTTAGAATCACCTGACTGTGAATTTACCTTATTGTCCTTTTCCGGGAGAGCTAGGCAATATCAGAGATTGGTAGCAATGAGAGGTTTGTGGTGGTGGTGGTGTTTTGAAGAGACTTCATGGGAAATAGGTCACAATCCAGGAGGAGGAATGTGGTTGAGAAGATACAGTGAACAGCACAGGGGCAGTGGGTATATGGAAGAGGGTGTCCAAATAGATTAAAAAAAATCATAAAAGGTAAATGGCAATGTTATGTAGATAGATTTTTATCTACAAATTTTGTTTTACTTTGTTTTTTAAAAATATACTATAAACCAGCTCATAATCCGTTTTCCTGTATTAGGATGTATTGTGTCAGATTGCTGTGTGGTCATTTAATAAAGATTTTATGCATCTTTGTATCTTTTTTTGTCATTATAATCCTAAATGAAATATGTTCTTATGGTTTTATGTATTTGAAGCGCTATAGGATTCCCTTTAGGCAACCTGAAAACATGATTCATCATCACCTAAAGAAAATATGTTACAGTGCTGGCACTTTTTGGGTTTCCTGATAATAATATACTTAAAGCTGACTTAGAAATCCAATCCTCCATGAATTTCAAAAAAGAAAAACTTTAAAAATAAAAAGAACCTAATGAAAACAATTCCATTCAAATATTGTTACTATACTATTATATGGTAGGGATATGTTCTTAAATTTCACTTGGTTGTTTTAATTTATGGGCTGTTTTCTGCTCTTGGAAAATCTTGGATATCTATTCATACCACTTTATTCTCCAGGGTAAGTTTGTCTGTTAACACTTAAGTGCTTTTAGGCTTTTTGGTATATCTACTTTATTTACTACCAAATCAATGGATTGAAGAGTGAATTGTTCAACCACACTGACATTTGGCACTGTGTAAAAACCAGACTTATGACTAAAAACCGCCTTTAGAACTGAACCCACCCTAACTTTTTATACACACATTCTATGATACAGCCACACTTTATTAATTTGAAATGGTATAAATTATATAAAATATACTTAAATGTTGAAAGAAATTTAAAAAGAACCCTTTTTAACAGCAGCTTTGAATAACTGAATGGAATTAATTTAATTTGAATAGAGGAACTACAGGTTAGGTAAAGAACCACTCAATGTTCCTTATTGCTTCAAATTGTGGAAGGTGGTTATAAAATGTTTCTTTGTTCAAACACTAATCCTTATCTATTGAGGAGTAATCAGGCTGCTTTTTATCACCCAACCAATCTAGGAAAAGGAAATTAGTTACTGTTACTAGATAACCTAATTGTTGATGACCATAATTTATCAATAGTTAAAAGTGAGTCATCAGTATAATATTATTGCTTTAAAAACTAAAAAAGAAAGAAAAAAGAGTCAGCAATTTTGTACTATAATTAGAAGTTACGAGTGACGTTTCCAACATATTGTGCACTAACCGTGGCTTTATGAAACTGATATGTTCACTTTGGATCATTGTTCCTCTGAAAAAAATAGGAAGACATGGGGAGTCCAGAAAACAATAGTGATGGCTAAAGAAATTGGGAACTTTGTCTTCATGATTGTAATTAAGTTGAAACTATTTAGAAAAAAGCAGTCAAGGAATACCTTAGAATCAGAGAATTGAGAGCTGGTAGAGGCCATGTATCATCTGGTACCATCACGTTAATTTGCAGAAATAGTAACTGAGACCTAAGAGGGCTAAATTGCCCAGATTGCAAGTAAGATATTTGAGACCAAAGTCCAAGTCTTTTGCCCCTTCCCCCCTCTCCCATGTAATGTTTTTTTTTGGTTATTGTCTTCAAGTGTATGAAAGATTGCTTCTCATGAAGCAGAAGTTTATACTAGCAAATGCACTGTCTCCAAGTGGGAGAGGTAGCTTCTATTACCTACAGATTAGCCAGCCCTATTACCAGTGCTGCTTCTCTTTTGCTGGACCTTGCATGGTGGGGTGCTCAGGTTTCAGCTGCTTCTATGAAGAGGCGGTCAGAGCCTCCTGACAACACCAATTCAATATTCTTGTCTAGCCAAGCCCTCAATGCTTGTTTTTTATTTTTATTAATTTTTTTTATTGTAGTAAAATATACATACCACAAAATTTACCCTTTTAACCATTTTTAAAAAGTGTACAATTTAGTGGCATTAAGTAATTTCACAATGTTGTGCAACCATTGACCAGTATCCATTTCCAGAACTTTTTCATCATCCTAAATAAAAACTCTGTACCTATTGAACAAGTTTTGCTTCTCCCCCCCCCCCCCCCCCAGCCCTGGTAGTATTTATTCTACTTTCTGTCTTTGTGAACTTGCCTCTCCTAGGTACTTCATATAAGTGGAATCATGTGGTATTACTCCGTGCTTGGTTTTTTTTTTTTTATGTTCTTGCTTATTTTTTAAATTACTCCTTTGCTATGTGCTTACCATTGTGCTAGGATTATACAAGATACATAGGATGTGGCCTCAGAGAGTTTGTAATTGAAATATTTTGTATTCAGTTCTATATTTCTCTTCCTCTCCCACCTTTGCCCTGGAAGAACCCAGCTCTTTGCATATCACAAATATTGGAAGAATGTTTGTTCACTCAGATGTTGTTAGGGAGTTTGCAATAACAGATATGAAAAAACAAACAAGTGAGTCAACATGATGCTTGGTATTTCTGGAGAAGGCAACACACACTTCTTCAGTGATTCCCATTCCAGTGTCTTAATAGTCCTTAGTCCTCAAATTTTTCATAAATCGTGTAACATTTCTTCTTCCCCATCTTTTTTGGAGGGGGGTTTCATTCTAGTCCCTAAAGTTTAAATATCCAGATAAGTAAGAGTGTTTGAATTCTGCTTTTTTTTTTTTTTTCAATATTAGCAATAAACCCTAACTGGCCTAAACAGGTGTCTTTTACATCTCTTATTTTGGTTCTGTAATGTCCAACTTCATCCTGCTGGCTATATATCTGTCATTTTATTATTTCAGCCTGATGTACTCCCATTCTTCCTTGGTTCAGAGTGCAGAGTAGCTCGCACTTAAAAGAAACAACCTGCAGCGTTCAGGCTAAATAGAATATAGTACCATGTTGGCTGCAGTAAAGAAGGCACTGGATTAATTGTCAGCCAATGTGTTAGCTCACATTCCAAAAGCCCCCTTTGATGCTTGGTTAATGAAAAGACTTAAAAATTTTAAATTATCATCTAGAAAAAAAATGGAAAGCAATTCATAATCATTTATTTTTTTATCTCTTTTCAGGAAATTGGGCAGGTAGAGGCAAGGTTTTTAATTTCTTTTTATTTTGGCATTAAAGTTGCAGTGTGCTGTAGGTGTTAGTAATGTTAGGAATAAATTAAATGAAAAATAGAACAATTGCTAGTAAAGTTGGTCTCAAGTGATTCATGTAAAGGCTTTAAATGCCTCTTGTACCTAGATAACCTTTTTCCCAGTATCAGCACTGCTCAAATGATTATTGTCTTTAGAGACAGTTTTGTCTTTGTACATAAAAAGTTTTAGATAGTAAAAGCCAGGAAGAAAAACTTCCTGTCAACAAGGATGGATTACCCTTTCAAGTACACTTTTTTCTTATCTTGTAAAACAAGCTATTTGAGATGGCTTTACAAATTTATAGTACTGAGCTCCCATCTAGCCTGGGTGTGGGAAGTTCTTAAATACGTAGTTACAGCACAGAGAGAAGCAAGAACACACAAATAAGAGGGATAACTGTAGGTTTAGTTTTTGTTTTAAAATGTCATGACTCGACCAAAGGCTAGAGCAGAACTCTTGAATTTTCCACCAAATGATATTTCTTGACTTGTACATTTTTTCCACAAAATATTTGCTTTTGGATGGGACACTTTTCTAATCAGACATGGCCTACTTCGGCCCGTATATTTTCAGCTACCACCCTTTAGGTTTTAACTTTTAACTTCTTATTTAAATTAAACATACATGAAGAAAAGTACACACAATTTAAGTGTACAGCTCAATGGGTCTCAGCACACCAGTGTGCCCAGCCAACCAGCACTTTGATCAAGAAACATGACATTAACTCTAAGCCCTCTTGTGCCCACTTCCATCACCACTTCCCAGTATGATAAAATTACCTGTGCCTGATAAAATTATATGTGATTTTTTGGTGCCTGATTCCTTTCCATAATGTGCCCAACGTTATGTTTGGGAAACTCATTATTTTTTCCCTTCATTTTTATGCTTCTCCTTTAATTTTTATGCTTCTCTCTTTTTTTTTCTTTCTCCTCAGACAAATAAACACTTGGATTTTATGTGTCACCTACTTGATTCAGTGATGACACCATGATGTGTATATAGAGTGACTCTAAGTCAGATCCTCATGGTGGCTTTAATAGCTGAAGTTGTCCCTCATCTTTCTCCTCTAAACAGTTATCTGGGAAGAACTGAGAGTTATAGAAGAGACAGGAGGAAAAGATAAGGTCAGTTCTCCTCTGCCCTGCAGCGTCTTTTCTGTCAACTCTCTTCTCTTCACTCCAACCCAATTTCTCAGGTGGGAGGAGCTTGGTAGATGCCGGCTGCACCGGCCCTGTTAAACTCCATGTTCATTTCCCTTTCCGATTAATTAGAGAGGGTGAAGAAGAGGAGACGATCTTGGAACAAATTACCAGCTTCATAAAGGGGTAATTTATTTAGTGGATAATTTGTTCATGATTATTTTTCCCTCTTCTGGTGAGTTTGACCATGAGGAATGAGTTAATACTTTGTAAAATGTATAAAAATAAATTAAACTTTAACAACATGTAATATGGTTTGTGTCAAAGAGAGAGAGATTTAAACTGCATAAACAACCCGAGGCCTCTGATCCATTCAAGTTTGGGCAATTGATTTTATGAAGATTTTTTTCCCAGGTCAATTGGTGGTATAAAATTTATATTAGTAGCTCTGTAATTTTTGTCATCTTTTAGCTGAAGACTAGTTAGATTCATTCATTTTCATGCACTATGCAAAAATAAAGCCAATAGCTGTCTGAACTTGTCGATTTCAAATCCTAATGCAGTATTAAGAAAATCAATAGGATGTATAACCACTCTTTCAATATACTATCCTGGCCTCAAAGGTGGAGAATATTTATTGGAAATGGAATAAACTTAGATTTGTTTAAGTTATAGCTAAAGTGGTTATGAAACAAAATATTTACAAGAGAACTGTGCCTTTCTTTTCTGAGTATTTCTTTGCACAGTACAATTGGCATTTTTCAGCACTGGGAAAAAAATTTAGGCTGAAGGTGGATATTGGAAGAAGTGGGAGGCAACAGTAATGGCTGTTGAAATTTTAGATGCTAAGGGAGACTCTGCAGTAACAGAAGGAAGGGGATCAGAGTTGTGGGATATGAGGTAGGAGGTGGTGAATTCTTTTGGCAAGTCCCCTCTTAGGCTACCTGAACACTGGCTGCCTTTCTGGGAAAGCCACTCCAGACATGGCAACCAATTCAGAGAGGCCCTTTCCATGCTCTTCTCCTTGTGGTATGAGAAGCATTGAGGCCTTAAGGGTGGAAGATAAGTAGAAAATTTGAATGTAAGTGTTTTGGAGGTCCCCAGAGCCCTGGCAGGAGCAGCTCTGGTGTAGGGGTGGGAGTAGAAGCCTGACTGCAGTGTATTATCAGCATCTGTGGTGTTCTGTGGGGTGCAGTTGGGAGCACTGTGCAACATCAGGGGTGGAGGGGAGCAGGAGGACAGCTGGGAGGGTGGATATTTAGTCACTAAGTAAAGGACATTAAACCAGTAAAAGGAAGTCAAAGAAAGAAACAATAAACAGAGTAGAAAATATTTATTAATGAACCACAAAGCCCAAATTGGGCTGAGGTGATAAGAAAGAGATCCTGAACTACCCTACTCACACCTTCCAGAGCCCTGAGAGGAGCTCTTGTATAAGAGACTGGGTTGTGGACATTCAGCTAAGGATTGAGAACCCTGTAAGCACAAAAATCTCACAATAGCTGGCCCAGGTTCTAGCACCGTTAAAAATGGCAAAAGGACATGGCTTAGGTAACTTTCACTTTGGTTTTCTATTGCATTGCTCCTTCCCTCTCTTCCTTTCTTTTTTCTTTTTTTTGACGTTCATTACCTCCCAAAAATTTGGAACCCTATATATTGCCTCTCATAATTATATTAGACATCTACAATTCTTAAATCATAATCTTAAATAGTTATAAATTATAGTTAAATCATAATCTTAAATAGTTATAAATGACACAGTTAGCAGATTATTGCATATTTATACTTCAAATGTATTTTTTGAAGCAGCAGGTGTGAGTTATCTATTCATAGAATATGCCCACCATGTAATTAATTGACAAGACCATTCCTCATTGTCAACCCAAACATCCAAGATAGGACTTTTTTCTTTCTGATAAAAAGTGACTTTCTTCATCTTTTTAAATTCCATTCAAATACATTCCCGGGACAACCATCTTACTTCTCTATTCACATCCTGAAGTAGAGGTGAAAAGACTAACAGAGTACAAGTGATAGGAATACAGAACAAGGCAGACTTTGCTTCCTTCAGTGTTCCCTATTTTACTGGCTTTGTTTAGCCCTCATAGGACTCTCCCTCGGGGTGATACTTCTCAAATTGTCCATAGGTAGTGGTCTCAGGGTTTTCCCAACCTGAGGCATGCTCCATGGTAAGACTGGGGGGAGGTTGTGCCCCTTCTTTCTAAGGAGGGAGAGGAGGACTGTGAAAGGGCATGGTGACAGAGGTGACCCTGCCCCACCTGCTCTAGGACAGTCACTTTTAGGAAAACACATGAAGGTTGAGGACCTGGACCTTGATTCTTTCAACAGTGCCCAGGGCCATGTATTCCCCTCAAAGCCTTTGTATGGCCCCACATACTTGCATCCCGCCAAAAGACCACTAGTGAACCAGCAAGAACATAATGGGAAGAAGGCACCTCTGATTAAGTTCATGGTCAGGGCAGAGGTCCAGGAGCCTTTGTTCTTCCTCAGGGAGGCATCCTTAAGTTCAAAGCCCAAGTCCAGTATCTCAGCAGCCCACACGAGGGATAAATCTGCTGGGTGAGGAGCCCACAGCTGGAGCTCATAGTCATCTGTGCCATCTTAGGTGTCAGTTGATCAGTTGATCAGCTGCTCATCATCAGCACCTGGAGGTTTATCGTCTTACAAAATAATTCTTATTGTGCCTGGGTTGCAGTCCTTTGCATCACCCTTCTCTCTGTGTTATTGGGTCTCCCCTACTGCTCCAGCCCCAGGTGTCTGTATTGAGGCCAGTCTTTACCTACAACAACCCTCCCCTTGCTGAATCACTAGTCTCAGGGAGAGAAATGGTCCTCCCAAGGTGCAGCAGTGTCCCGAGTGATCTCTTACCCTGGTGAAATAAAGTCTCTCTGAATCTCCTCAGCAGTAAGAGAGCAGGTCCACCTCTGCACGTTCTTCGGGCTTTTCTCAACTCCCTCTTACAACTCTTGTACTTATGTGGACCTTTTGCCCTAAGTTCTCAAGATGTTTTCTTTCTCCTGTGACAGTGCAAATTCCTTAAGACAAAATTTTTTTCCTTTCCTTTTTATTCATTTTTTCCCTCTGCAGTACTAAGAGTGGAATGCCACACACAGTAGGTGCCCAACAAATATTAGTTGAATAAATGAAATTGGAAATGACAATATACATGTGAAACAGGACATATGTCTTAAGACTGAGGCTACAAGTATCAAATAAAATTTATATAGAAACATATTAAAATAAAATTTACAACTGAAGTTTTTAGCAGTTATAGTAGATATTTTTGGCTATACATTATTGACAAGGAATTCTATGGAATCCAAGTGGATGGCTCCGTGTTTTGATGACATTTTGCAGTTAAACTATCAAGCCTGTAACCGGGTCTGGGATTGAAGCCACCCTGCCTCTGGACGTCAGAGGGCGCTCATACACCACTAGAGAAGTTTTTGCAAACCACTTCAGTCTGAAGTTTCTGTTTTACAAAGGGGGAAGCTGCGACTCCCAGGGAACTTCTGCCGAAAATTCATTTCCTGTATACTTCTGGACCATAGCTGTGTTCTCCAAAGGAAGATTTAATATACATGCATGAAAACCTTATTATAAAGCACCCAGCTCATGCTGCATTGAAGGACAAATCCTTTTTCTATGAACACAGTGACACTATCTTTTCTTGCTTGGTCTTTGTGCTTTTTAAATAGCTTCCTTATAGAGAAAGAAAAGACTAAAAGAAAAAGCAGAGAAAGAAAGCTAAAGTAACAGGTTATTGTTTGGACTGGGAATCATAGTTGACTATAGAGAAACCCAGGGCAGAAGCCTGTGACTTTAGACAAATCGCTTACTCTGGGCTTTTCATACATGGAATGAAGACACTTGACTCAATGTTTTCTGATCTTTGGAGAGGGGAATTTTTACTACTTACTATCAACTCTCATCTCCTTACTCTGCAAGAACTATTGTGCCTTAATCTCTCTCCTCCTGCCTTCTCTTCTTTCTTATTCCTGGGGTCTAAGGGAGAGATTAGGAGTAGTTTATCAATCAGGATGAAGTAGTGAAAAAAACCCAAAACAATAGGCTTTGCCATTTACCAACTGTGAGACCCTGAGCTAGAGTCCTTGTTAAGCCTCAGTTTACTCATCAGGAAGCTGGTATTAATAATACACACTTGGGAAGATTGTTTTAGTAAAAATTCAACAAAATAATAAGCATATGATGAATCATTTGTTTTCTTATACCTCTAAATAGACAACAAATGCAGACTAGCCCTAACCAAGAATTGAGTACAAAATCTTCATGCATTCATTTTCAGTCTCATTATTTCCAAGGTATCACATTTATTTCTCTCTAGTTGAGTTGGCTCTTTGTCATGTGATTGTCTATCTATTCATTCAGTTATAGGAGAAGTATTTGTTGTGCACCTACTATGCTCCAGGTACTATACTAGGTGGTGAGAATAAGACAAGAACAAGATCCCTGACCTCATGGAATGTATGCTTTGTGGCAGAAATAAACAAGAAACAAGGAAACAAACATACAATATGTAATTACAGATATTTACTATGAAGGAAACAAACAGGTGCCATAGTTTAAAAAAACAATGAGTGGAGTGATACCTCAGATAGGATGGCCAGAGAAGGCCTTTCTAGGGATGTAAAATCAAAATACGGAGGAAATGGGGATGGAAGTGAATACTTTCCTGTGGAGCAGGCTGTAAAACAATCCATGAACTCAACACTTGCTAAAAGATTTTTATTTTTATCATCCTTAAATAGGAAATGCAAATATATGTATAATGATGTAATGATACCATCCATTCTGCAATTTATATTAACATGTTTCTTTCAGAGATCTTATCGACTTTATCTTTTTACCCTAATACTTTTCAGTCAGCCCGGTCCAAAATAGATATCCAATAAATGATTGTTGAATGAATAAATGGCTACAACAATCACCCTACATATACAAGG